GACAGAGCCGGGCAGCTGTGCCAGGGAATTCAGGGAGCAAACACTCCAATGAGAAAAATGTCCCAGCCCTAAAACTTAGTTGACTTTGGGGCTTCCCTGGTGGTGCAGTGGTTAAGAATCCGCCTGCCAAGGCAGGGGACACGGGCTGGGGCCCTGGTCCGGGAAGATCCCACATGCCGTGGAGCAACTAAGCCCATGAGCCACAACTACTGAGCCCTCGTGCCACAACTACTGAAGCCTGCGCAACTAGAGCCCATGCTCCACAACAAAAGAAGCCACCGCAATGAGAAGCCTGTGCGCCACAACGAAGAGTAGCCCCCGCTCACTGCAACTAGAGAAAGCCTGCACGCAGCAATGAAGACCCAATGCAGCCAAAAATAAAAAATAAATAAAAAAATAAAAATTTTAAAAAAGAACCTTAGTTGACTTTAAGGACTGGTATAAAATAAGGTAGAGGACTCAGGGCCAAATATTCATTTCCATTAAAATACATCATTTTAAAAAGCTGACGTTTTCGCTTGGTTTTGTCTTATTTTAAGCAACGTGAAGTTGGTTTTAGTGGAGATACGCAATTGGTAACTTAGGTTATTTTGAAAGATTTTCCTCCTTAAAATGAGCCTCAGCTGATAGTTCCTCCTTAATGCTGATAATCATCTAAAGCAAAACAAATGTCTAGGTCAATGAAGACTGAAACGGGATAATTCCTGGACACTAAATTTTCCAAGAACAAAGCATACAATTGTTCTATACACACCCCTGCAACAGTTCTTAATGGAAAGGGCACAGAGACCTTTTACTTGGGGGCCTTGTTATGATGCAGCCTCAGAGGCACCACCAAGAGACTGCCTTTGAGCCAAGGTCTCACAATGAGGGCACAAAGGTGGAGCTACCCCATCCTACAGTTCAGGTCTGGGATCACTAGAACAGCGGGGAACCTGAGTCCAGAAGTACCTTTCCCTCTCAGTACATCAGCTGCAAGTCAGTCTCAGGTTCCCCATCCCTACAGTAGATTAGCAGTTATTCATACTAAAGGGTGCTTGTGGGGGTTACACAGGATCATGGATGTGGACCAGCTCTGCCAGTACTGAAGCTCCAGACAAAAGAAAGCACTTAGTTATCACAGCCAGGAAGGGCGTGGGAGATGGGCTTGCATTTTAAAAGAAAACAAAACCCAGTCCAAACTCCCATCTCTCATGAGCATCAGTCGGACCAGTGGGTACTTCTGGAGTATGTGGGAAGATCCCACATGCCGTGGAGCAACTAAGCCCATGAGCCACAACTACTGAGCCCTCGTGCCACAACTACTGAAGCCTGTGCAACTAGAGCCCATGCTCCACAACAAGAGAAGCCACCGCAATGAGAAGCCTGTGCGCCACAACGAAGAGTAGCCCCCGCTCACTGCAACTAGAGAAAGCCTGCACGCAGCAATGAAGACCCAATGCAGCCAAAAATAAAAAATAAATAAAAAAATAAAAATTTTAAAAAAGAACCTTAGTTGACTTTAAGGACTGGTATAAAATAAGGTAGAGGACTCGGGGCCAAATATTCATTTCCATTAAAATACATCATTTTAAAAAGCTGACGTTTTCGCTTGGTTTTGTCTTATTTTAAGCAACGTGAAGTTGGTTTTAGTGGAGATACGCAATTGGTAACTTAGGTTATTTTGAAAGATTTTCCTCCTTAAAATGAGCCTCAGCTGATAGTTCCTCCTTAATGCTGATAATCATCTAAAGCAAAACAAATGTCTAGGTCAATGAAGACTGAAACGGGATAATTCCTGGACACTAAATTTTCCAAGAACAAAGCATACAATTGTTCTATACACACCCCTGCAACAGTTCTTAATGGAAAGGGCACAGAGACCTTTTACTTGGGGGCCTTGTTATGATGCAGCCCCAGAGGCACCACCACGAGACTGCCTTTGAGCCAAGGTCTCACAATGAGGGCACAAAGGTGGAGCTACCCCATCCTACAGTTCAGGTCTGGGATCACTAGAACAGCGGGGAACCTGAGTCCAGAAGTACCTTTCCCTCTCAGTACATCAGCTGCAAGTCAGCCTCAGGTTCCCCATCCCTACAGTAGATTAGCAGTTATTCATACTAAAGGGTGCTTGTGGGGGTTACACAGGATCATGGATGTGGACCAGCTCTGCCAGTACTGAAGCTCCAGACAAAAGAAAGCACTTAGTTATCACAGCCAGGAAGGGCGTGGGAGATGGGCTTGCATTTTAAAAGAAAACAAAACCCAGTCCAAACTCCCATCTCTCATGAGCATCAGTCGGACCAGTGGGTACTTCTGGAGTATGTGGATGGATCTTACCCACTGCGGGACATCAGGCAGGCCTTTCTGAAGCTTCTGAACTCGGCTCTGTGGTGCCCATGTGGACAAGTAGGGCTACAAACAGGTGGTGCTGCATGATGGATCTTACCCACTGCGGGACATCAGGCAGGCCTTTCTGAAGCTTCTGAACTCGGCTCTGTGGTGCCCATGTGGACAAGTAGGGCTACAAACAGGTGGTGCTGCAGGTTAGTCCGCCTCCGTTTAGGGTCAGAAGTTCTGGATTCTATGATCAGATGGAATCTTGGGCAGCTGTTTAACTTCTCTGTTTCTTAGTTTCATTCATTTACTGCATGGGGATTATATCAGCCTTACTTACCTTGAAGATCTTTATGAGAATGCAATGAGATTTTTTTTTTAAAGAATAAATATGTGCATTATTAATTATCATTAGACTGGAGCTTCAGCATAACTCCTGGGTACTCTGAAAAGTTTTATTATTTAGAATCAGCCCAGGCTGATTGCTATTCCCTGATGCTGACTTCTTTTTAAAATAAACTTTTTATTTTAGAATATATATATATATATATATATATATATATACACATATATGTATATATATTTTTTGGCCAAGCCCCACGTGGCTTGCAGGATCTTAGTTCCCCAACCAGGGGTCGAACCTGGGCCCATGGCAGTGAAAGCATCAAGTCCAAACTGCTGGACCGCCAGGGAATTCCCTTAGAATATATTTAGATTTACAGAAAAGTTCCAACAGAGAGTTCCCATACTCCCTTCACCCAGTTTCCCCTAATGTTGACATCTTACATAACTATGGCCCATTGTCAGAACTAAGAAGCCAATATTAGTACATTAAGGTGCGCATGTGTCTTTTTGAATTATGGTTTTCTCAGGGTATCTGCCCAGTAATGGGATTGCTGGGTCATATGGTAGTTCTATTTTTAGTTTTTTAAGGGACCTCCATACTGTTCTCCATAGTGGCTGTATCAATTTACATTCCCACCAACAGTGCAGGAAGGTTCCCTTTTCTCCACACCCTCTCCAGCATTTATTGTTTGTAGATTTGTTGATGATGGCCATTCTGACCAGTGTGAGATGATACCTTATGGTAGTTTTGATTTGCATTTCTCTAATAATTAGTGATGTTGAGCAGCTTTTCATGTGCCTCTTGGCCATCTGTATGTCTTCTTTGGAGAAATGTCTATTTAGGTCGTCCATCCATTTTTTGATTGGGTTGCTTGTTTTTCTGATATCGAGTTGCATGAGCTGTTTGTATATTTTGGAGGTTTATCCGTTGTCTGTTTCTTCATTTGCAAATATTTTCTCCCATTCTGAGGGTTGTCTTTTGGTCTTGCTTATGGTTTCCTTTGCTGTGCAAAAGCTTTTAAGTTTCATTAGGTCCCATTTGTTTATTTTTATTTTTATTTTCATTACTCTAGGAGGTGGGTCATTTGCAGCACTATTTACAATAGCCAGGTCATGGAAGCAACCTAAACGTCCATCGACAGATGAATGGATAAAGAAGATGTGGTACATATATACAGTGGAATATTACTCAGCCATAAAAAGGAATGGAGCTGGGTCATTTGTAGAGATGCGGATGGACTCAGAGACTGTCATACAGAGTGAAGTAGGTCAGAAAGAGAAAAACAAATATCATATATTAACGCATATATGTGGAATCTAGAAAAATGGTACAGATGAACCTGCTTGCGAGGCAGAAATAGAGACACAGATATAGAGCACAAACGTATGTACACCAAGGGGGGAAAGCAGGGGAGGGATGAATTGGGAGATTGGGATTGACATATATACACTAATATGTATAAAATAGATAACTAATGAGAACCTGCTACATAGCATAGGGAACTCTACTTAATGCTCTGTGGTGACCTAAATGGGAAGGAAATCCAAAACAGAGGGGATGTATGTATACATATAGTTGACTGACTTTCAGAAACTAACACAATATTGTAAAGCAACTATACCTCAATGAAAAAAATAAAGAAGATAAAAACAGTAAAATATACTAAGATTTAAAAAATATTAGTACATTAATGTTAACAAATATAGACTTTATTCAGGTATCACCAGTTTTTCTACCAATGTCCTTTTTCTGTTCCAGGACTCCATCCAGGTACCACACTGCATTCAGTCCTCACATCTCCTTGGTTGCCTCTGGTTGATGATGGTTTCTCAGTCCTTCCTTGTCTTTCGTTGATTGACAGTTTGAGGAGTACCAATCAGGTACTGTATGGACCATCCCTCAATTTGGTTTTGTCTGACATGTTTTTTTCATGATTGGACTATGGGTTTTGGGGAAGAGTGAAGTACTCTTCTCATCACATCATATCAGAGGTCCACGTCATCAACATGACTTATTACTGGTGGTATTAACCTTAATCACGTGGTTAAATGGGATCTACCAGATTTCTCCACTGTAAAGTAACTCTTTTCCCTTCCCATTCTCTATTCTTAAAAATAGAAGGAAGTCACTAAGTCCAACTCACATTCAAGGGAAGGAAAATTGTTTCACTTCCTGAAGGGGGGAGTATCTACATGTATCATTTGGAATTCCTTTTTTTTTTTTTTTTTTTTTGCGGTACGCGGGCCTCTCTCTGTTGCGGCCTCTCCCGTTGTGGAGCACAGGCTCCGGATGAGCAGCCCCAGTGGCCATGGCTCATGGGCCCAGCCGCTCCGCGGCATGTGGGATCCTCCCAGACCGTGGCACGAACCCGTGCCCCCTGCAACAGCAGGGGGACTCTCAACCACTGCACCACCAAGGAAGCCCTGGAATTCTTCTTTAAGGAAGACTTGTCTCTTTGTTTGTGTTCACTTTTATTTATTTATTTATTTTTTTGGCCATCCCGCATGTGGGATCTTATTTCCCCAGCCAGGGATCAAACCTGCGCCCCCCCGCAGTGGAAGCGTGGAGTCCTAACCACTGGACCACCCGGGTATTCCCATGTGTTTATTTTGTACTTTGGGTTAAAATCCAATATGATGTTATCTATTTTGTTGCTCTAAGTATTCCAGCTTTGGCCCCTGGGAGCTCTTTCAGTTAGTTCCTTCCCACATCCCTTGGACATACCCCCGTAACTGTGGGTCTTTCTATTTTTATTTCTGTTTTGAGCACTTTCTGACTTTCTGGCTCTAGAAGATGTTCCAGGTTCATCTTATATATTCATAGCCCCAGCCAGGATCAGCCATTTCTCTAAGGACCCTGGTTGCTATTTTGGAAAATGATATTAGAAACCAACAACTGGGCACTGAGTGTGATTTTTGTTACTGACTGATGCTGATTTCTAACCAAATAATTGAAAATATTTAGAGCCAGAGAGATATGGGTTTTTGCTACCTGTATTACTTTGGGCAAGTTACTGTGTCACATTGGATCTGTTTCCTCACCCACGTGTAAGAATAATGAACATCACTCAAAGGGTTGTTGTGAGGTCAAGCGAGGTAATATTGAAGGAACTTTCTATTTCTGATATCAGAGAGCTAGGTTTTCTCTTCTACACCTTTAAAGCATCAATGATCTGACAATACCGTAATGCAAAAAATTAAGGGAAAATGGGAACCAAGAGAAATAAACAAGTAAGAAAATTGCGTTTGCCATGAAGGCATTTGCCATTTCCAGCAAATCTGAATTTTCACTTCGACGGCCTCATGGTGATTGCGGTGGAGCGGGCGGTGATGATAGTGGAAACCAGGGCCAGCACTAAGCAAGAAATTTAATAGACAGTAAGCTGGACGCCAAAGAGCTATAACCCCGGGGGAGGGTAAAGCTATTGCTGCCCTTATTTCAACTCTCTGAGTCTTCCAGAAAACCTCAATTTGGTTTAGGGTGGGTCTCAAGCTAAGAGTCCCTTCAGACGCCTTGCAAGGGGAAGAAGATACCTTCAATTTGCCCTTCATATTAATCTTACAAATCATTTTCCAAGGACGGTGACTAGTACACATCTAGGACATCTTGAGCACTCAGCCCCAGCGGACGCCACGTGGGGCAGAAGAACCATCTAGTGGAGCCCTGTCCAGACTGCAGAGTCATGAGAAATGAGAAATGGTTGTTGTTTTAAGCCACTAAGTTTTGGGGTTTTTTGTTACATAGCAATAGATAACTAAAGTATTTTTATACATGCTTTTTGTCATAATTGCTGCCTCCTAAGAAGGAAAAAGATTCTTCAAGGTTCTTCCCAGCCCATTATAGTTTTGCTCCGGCAGGCTTCTCCAGGTTTGTCTATCAGTTAAGACTTCAACCAAACTGGTCTTTTCACTGTTTCTTAACATGTCTGCCCCAAGTACTCCCGTTTCCATGATTTTGCTCACTTCACCAACCCCATCTGAAGGCTCACCTGCATTTCCCCCTCCTCAGTTGAACCACCGCCTCCACTTTGAATCTTCCCCTCTTCCAGGTCTAGCAAAGAACGCCATTAATTCCAAAGTGACCTCTGTCCTCTGAACTTATTCTTGTGGCCAAGTTCATTGGGAAGGTCCACTCCCTCGTGTTGTTGTGTTATTTGAAGGCAGTTTCGTGTCCCCAGCTATAATAAGCTCCCTTGAATGCAGAGACTGAGGATATACCTGTCTGTGTTTCAGCATCTAACAGGGGGCCTGGAAGAGAGAGGGAACCCAGAAAATGTGTTGTATAGATGATTATGCTGTTTAACAGTCTTTTTCTAAAGCAGCATTATGGTGATGATTCACTGGCTCTATCCTCATTTTCAGGTGCTCTGTGGCTGTCACACTGAATTCCCATTGCAACCACTGACAAAAATACCACCAGGCCTTTTTTCTAAATATAAAGAATGAGTTAATAGGCTTTTGTAAGAAGTAAGAAAATGAAAATCACTTCATACCTCTTTTTTTTTTTTGCCAGCACTTTTGATTTCTTCCTCTCCTTTACATGTGAGAAGTTCATACACGGTGAATCACTTCCCTGTCACTTAAACTCTGAAGTGTAATACGATCACAGTAGGCAATGAAACCATGTATGTGAAGTCTCAGAGGCGCAAAAATTTGTGAGTGGAAACCGATAAAAGATTGGCAGGACTGTTTTCTAAGAAAGCAAAGAGCCAACAGCTGAGGCATGAAGGGTTTCTTCTGCACCCCAGGGATTCTTACCTAACGCCTAATCTTCATGCTGGCCAGCGGAGTCAAATATTTATGTTCTAGATACCAGGCTCGCTCCTGGAACACCAGTTTGGTTCCATATAGCAGACAAAACTAAGGGGTGGGGGAAGAGGAGAGAAATGGAAAAATATGTTAGAAAACGCAGAATCTAAGGAGGCGAATGAGAAATAGCGTAATATTACATTTCATAAGATCATAAAAGTTAATACATACTTACTATAAATGGTCATATTTTGTTTTTTTTAATTTTTATTTTATATTGGAGTATAGTTGATTAACAATGATGTGTTAGTTACAGGTGTACAGCAGTGATTCAGTTATACCCATACAAGTTTCTGTTCTTTTTCAAATTCTTTTCCCATTTAGGTTATTACAAAATATTGAGCCAAGGTTTCTGTGCTATACAGTAGGTCTTTGTTGGTTATCTATTTTAAATATAGTAGGGTGTACATGTCAATCTCAAACTCTCAATCTATCCCTCCCCCTGCTTTCCCCCTGGTAACCATAAGTTTGTTCTCTAAGTCTGAAAATGGTCACATTTTGGACATGCAGTATATGTTTTATATTTTGAAACCACTCTATGGAGAAATTTAAAGCATATATAAAATTAGAAAAAATAGTGTAACCAACTTCCATGTCTCCATCCCCCCAGTTCAACAGATATTAACTCACAGCCAGTCTTGCTTCATCTACAATCTCATCTAATTCTTCCCCACCCCAGGTTACTTAGAATCAAAGTCCACTCATAATATATTTTAAAAAAATAAATGTAATATTTCTGTTTGCTTTCTTTCTTGATTCATGAAAGAATATTCTTTTTTTTTTTTTTGCGGTACGTGGGCCTCTCACTGTTGTGGCCTCTCGCATTGCGGAGCACAGGCTCCGGACACGCAGGCTCAGTGGCCATGGCTCACAGGCCCAGCCGCTCTGCGGCATGTGGGATCTTCCCGGACCGGGGCACGAACCCGTGTACCCCGCATCGGCAGGCGGACTCTCAACCACTGCGCCACCAGGGAAGCCCATGAAAGAATATTCTAAATGCCCATTCTGAATAATATCATCTTGATATTTTCCATTGAGCATGGTTTGATTAGACTTTCATAAAAATAGCATTCCTCATTTGCATTTTGTTTCAATACGTTTTTCCTATCACGTTTCTGAAACCGACACGCAGACCTCCATCATGACATCAGTGGCATCCAGCAATAATAGATGAGTTTTCCTGTATTAACAAGTAACTTTTTTTTTGTATAATGCAAAAAAAATACACTCAAATTGCCTATAGCAACTATAAAAGGTAACGATGCAATGCATTTAATTACTGTTTAGTAGTGCTTTTTATTTGAGCATTTCAAGGTATTAGTAAAAGTGTCATATTTCTATGAAGGACTTAAATAAAAATGAGGTAAATGTAGAATTGTTAAATGAGAATTTCAGAAGTCTTTACAATGAACAAGTAACTTTTAAGTTAACTATTTTTTAGCATTTCATATTTAATAATTCCAAAATTATACAAACATAGAGATAATAGTATAAGGTACCTCCAAGTCTATGTCATCCAGCTTTAATAGCTGTCAACTCATAGCCAATCTTGTTTTATCTCTACTCCCACCTGTTCCCCCCTTTCCATATTATTGTGAGGCAAAGTTCAATTGTTATCATCTCTAGGTTTGGAGGGAAGAGAGCTATGTCGATCCTGGAAGAGAAAGCTATGTTGACAGGGTCCCCTTAGAGGAGCTGTGACCTTCAGCCAAGGAACACAGAAACCCCAAGGTGATCCCACAAGAAGGCAGGCAGGGGGCAGGGATATCCCAACCTCATTCTCCTCCCCATCTCCAGTCTCTAGCTGGGGCTTCCTGTTCTCAGAACCTAACTGGATACAGAGGGCAAGGATTCCTCTGATGCAAGTTACGTAGATCAATTTCCTGGGCCCAGAGCAGGGTGGAGAAGGGTGGAGAGTAGAGCTGGAAAAGCAAAGGGAGGATGTCTGGAAAAATCCCATCTCTAACACCCCCAACAAGGTGGTCATCCAGCCTTAGTCCAGTCCTATCTCAAGTTCAAGTTCACCTGGTCCCACACAGCCCCGACTGCTGACACCATTCCCACGTTTCATCCCAGAGGGCCAGTGTCACACTGCACTGACTATGTCCGCTCTGCCCTTCTGTCGACTCCTGACTTGTCCTCCTGTTGACAGTCTGTGGCTCTTGTGTATCTGATGCTCAGGGCCACTTTTCTGCCTTTGAACTCTTTCTTTTCTCCTTGAACACAGTTCGGACTCTCCTTTGGCTACCCTCTTTTCTTGTCCTGGGAAACAGGCGTCCTGGTTCTTGGTAGTGACCAGAACACCACCTGGAGGTCCAGATACCATCAGCCCAGCCTCAGGTCCTCAAACGGAACCTGAATGTGTTTCCTTTTATGTTTCAGAGATGGGAACTCAGTGCATTAAGAGGCATCCAGTTCTCCAACCCACTGTTGGAAGAACCATTGCATACTGAACCACTTGCCTATGTGGAAGATGAATTTATGGATTGTTAACTCTGTCGGAAAGGGGTCTTGTCCTGCTCATCTCTGTATGCCTAGGGTCTGGGAAAAAAAGCTGATACACTGTAAGAGATTGGCTGACATCCAATTTCCTGTATACCTCATAGCTATTAATCCTGTAACTTCTGCTGCCTAAGGAGCAAAGCAGGAGTGTATCAAAGTATCCAGATAACAGCCTTAACAATTTAAAGATAAGTTTCACATCTCTGCTTAGGCGTTCTTTCTTCAGAGGATCAGCCTCCACAGACTGCCATTTTCTCACAACGCAGCTTCCAGCTCTTGTGCCACGTTGGACCTGGTGGCCTCTTCTAAATGCTTAATTCTCTCCTTCAAGGTGTCTCACGGGACTGAACGCAGTGTCCAGATGTTTTCTTGTCGCTGTAGTGTCAGTAGCACCATCGCTGTCCTGGTTTGGGACTCTATACTTTTACAAGCAAAGGAAGATGGAATTTGCTTTTATGACAGTCACACGTTTTTTGAAGAAATGAGTGAAAGAATACCATGCAATTTGGTTTACATCAAATGTTTGCTCAGTTAATACTCCTACTGTGTCTTTTCTCCTATGAACCGTTTTCAACCAACCCATACATACATACATACATCCCTAAAGGGATGATTTTAAATTTATTCTCTTAAAGTATCATCTTGTTGATATGACTTACCTTAAGTCCCCCAAATCTCTATGAATATTGATTCAATCACCTCATGTGTTTATGTCATTTACAGATTTGTCAGTCCCATCTTTGTCTTTATATCATAGAACTCAACTGATAGGTCTATATCTTTTCAATCAAGTATTTGAGAATCTATTTAACAGACTCTCATCTAACTCATATTTCTCTAGCTTGTACATAAGGATAGCCTAAGAGTCTGGAAAGTGCTGTGCAAAATCAAGATACATCGGGCTTCCCTGGTGGCGCAGTGGTTGAGGGTCCGCCTGCCGACGCAGGGGACGTGGGTTCGTGCCCCAGTCTGGGAGGATCCCACATGCCGCGGAGCAGCTGGGCCCGTGAGCCATGGCCGCTGAGCCTGCATGTCTGGAGCCTGTGCTCTGCAATGGGAGAGGCCACAGCAGGGAGAGGCCTGCGTACCGCAAAAAAAAAAAAAAAAAAAAATCAAGATACCTCAACTTCCCCAGATTTTGTTTTCTAGCAACATGATTAAGAAAGGAAATAAGATTAGTTTAGCAAGGCTTAGCCACAGTGAGCACAGACCACGCTCCTAGTGACCATCTTTTTCTAATCACTCATAAACTATTTTGAATAGCCTTTTCTAGCATTTTAACTTGGATTTATAAATTCTATAGTTTCCCCAATCTATTTTCCTTTCTTTCTTTCTTTTTTTTAACGTGGACATTTGCTCATTTACAGTTTCCTGACATCTCTTTTGTCCTCCTTGGTTTCAAATGTCTTAAAACTGTGTCCTTCCCAATTCAGAGAGAAGATGGGGACATTCTAGGAGACAAGTATGTCTGCGCTCTGTTTGCATTTATTAACATCAAAGCTTTCTTCCCCAGACCAGGTGTCTGTCTCTTCAAACTCTGAGCATAGCTAAAAATAGCCTTTTAAATCTTCATCAGATTATTTGTCAAGCCTCACATTATGGTGGGATTTGACCATCCTGACATTTACTAAATGCTACCCTTTTGTATTTATCCCTGGACAAGCGTCTCCCCCCATCACCATGCTTCTCATTTATATAGCTTCCTTAGACTTATGGCCATCAGAGAGTCCTCTCTACACTTATCTTGGTTTCTTTAAATGTGTCCCAAATTACACCTTTTTTTGGTATCTATTGTATTGTCAGAGTAATATTTTACTGTTTTTCTTACTCTCAAGCCCATGTGCCCCTATGAAATCTCTGCCCATAGAATCATAATAACCAATATTTTTTAATCACCTACTATGTGCCAGGCACTGCAAGGTATTTTACATTCACCTCGTTTAGTCTTCACAATAATCCTGAATGTAGCCATAACTCCTGGACAGAGTAAATGGAGAAGCTATTTGAGGAACTGAAAAATAAATATTGATAGTAGGCAGATTCGGGAAGAAGACTAAAATTCAAAGTACCACCAAACAGGTGATGAGTTTAGTTTTTTTTCCTAGTCTTCAAGCTGCTTGTCCCTGGAGACGGGCGTGCATCAGGCCAAGATAAATAAACCCCAGATTCTGGAAGGAGGATAGAAAAGGGAGCCCTGGGGAACCAGAGAGTACCGAGGAGGTCATGGAGTCGGGGGGCTTGGGAAAGTAAGCCCATAAAGTTGTCTATGAACTTCTGGGCTCAACCCCAGGTGTACATACACGGATCTAACACACATCAGTACACAAAACACTTTGAGAACTGAACTAGCAAACAGATGAAAATGCGGGTGCCAGGCTGGCCACTGTGTGGTGCATACGTGGGACAGAACAGAATAGTATAGCAAAGGCTCTGAAGACTAAACCGACATTGAAACCACAGTGAACAGAAGGTGAGTTGCAACTTGCAGCCCAAACAACCAGATACATTCATTGCTAAAACAAAAATATTAACATTCTCGATGGGATTTA